CGGTTTCCCGCATTATGTATGTCACGTGACGTCGCGGCATGACATGGCGGGCTTTGGATATACAGTTAGTCAATAAAGATGTAGTTGATTCACGTCTCGTCTTATTCGTGATGAATACGAAACATGGTGTCAGAAGTGGGATCTAGAATCAGCTATCTGAGAGACGGAAGATCGTAGTCTAGAACAGGCGCAGTAACAGAATGGCTCCGAAGTTTAATCCGCCGGAAAAGTTCAACTTTCTAAAGCCAGCCGAGTGGCCAGAAGGGAAGCAGCGATTTTCGCGCTACAGGGTGGCTACGAAGCTTGGCGAGGAGGACGCCGAAGTGCAGATAAGTTCCCTGATCTACGCCATGGGGAGCGAGGCGGAACACATTTTGAACTCATTCCGATTTGACAGTGAAGGTGACGCCGCAGACTATGATAAAGTCTTGAAGAAATACGACGAGTATTTTATTCCGAAAAAGAACGTCATACATGAACGGGCTAGATTTCACCTACGATGTCAAGGCCAAGGTGAATCGATAGAGGTATTCGTGCGCAACTTATACGAGATTGCAGAACATTGTGACTTCGACAATAAATCTGAACAAATCAGAGACAGGTTAGTGATCGGAATTGTTGATAAGGAACTTTCAGAGAAACTACAGTTACAATCCGACCTAACACTGGATAAAGCTGTAGACATGGCTAGAAACTCTGAGTTGATCAAGTCGCAGATGAGAGATCAACAGGCTATAAGTCTTGACGCCGTTAGGAAGTATACAAAGCCAACTTACTCGCAGCCGGGTCGTGGAACTGGCTATTATAGGGGAGGTAACCACGGCAATACTCGCAAGGCGTACCAGCACAGTCAAAGGACTGAGACGTGTGGTAGATGTGGCTATGATCATGGTGATAGGATGAAATGCCCAGCCAATGGACAGAAATGTCGGAAATGCGGGAGAATGAACCATTTTGCGAAGTGTTGTCGCAGTACTAATACTAATACTAATAGTACACGTAGGAACATACACGAGGTCACTGAAAGTGCGGGTGCAGATGATGGTGGTGCAGATTCATTCTTCTTGGGGTCTGTAACTACTTGTGAAGATGAAGCTGAGGCATGGAACATTAAATTGAAATTATGCAGCAAGGGACTGAACAAGAAGGTCACCTTCAAGATTGATACGGGAGCTGACACATCAGTGATCACTGAGTCCGTGTATAATGCGTTGCCTTGGAAACCGACACTTCAACCAGTAAGTTCGATGCTGCAGAGCCCTGGTGGCGTGTTAAAGTGTGTTGGGATGTTTATTGCTAAAACTCACCACAAGGGAGTAGAATATCAGTTCCGCATCCACGTCGTACAAGGCGTACACAGCAACTTATTGGGCAGAAGTGTAGCTCATAAGATGGGACTGGTGTTAAAGGTCGAAGATGTCCGATGTGATATATTCGGAGATCATGGATGTATTAAAGGACCGCCGGTAAAGATCACACTAAAGGATGATAATAAGCCGCACTGTGTTACAACAGCACGTCGAATACCGTTCCCACTCATGCCTAAAGTGGAGGCAGAGCTACAGAGAATGGAACGTCAGGGTGTCATCGTCAAGGTAACGGAACCGACAGACTGGTGTGCGCCCATGGTTCCTGTGATTAAGAAGAACGGCGATGTTCGCATTTGCGTTGACCTGAAAAAGCTGAACCAAACCCCAAGCTCATCATGGCCGCTATTCCAGTTAATCTTGTCCACCTTGTGCCTGGAACGGAGCGAGTCAAAGTTTACACGCACTTTAGAAAAGCAAAAGAGGACAACATTCGGGTGCTCGCCGATCTAGACTCCACTCCAGAGGAGAAGTTGGCATGTACCAGGTCCATTGTAGTCTCTGCAGCTTTGCAGCTCCTTCCGGGAGTGTTGGTATCCAATACTACCACAGTTGACACGGTTCCTGAGGCCAGTATTACCAAGTTGGAAGTCGAAGGGTGCCTCAAGATAGGATTTGCGGTGCTTTGCCACCTAGCAAAGCCGGTGACATCTCAAAACGTTGCGTACTTGTCCCGGCGCTGGAGTGCAGCACAGGCCGTCCTCACCCAACAAGGGATTCAGGTAGGTGCCTACGACTTAGGGCCCTACATGCTGGAAGCTCTGCCGACTATTCCTGACCTCCTGTCTGTAATCCCATTAGCGGCTGCGACAAGATCACTCATAGCTTCTAAGGATAATGAGGAAGATATTACTAGATCTGCCCTAATGGCACAGATGGATCTCATTTACCACTCGTCGGGGATGGTTGGCATAGAGCAAGTAGCAACCCTGATAGAAGATGCAAATAGCTGTATCATCGCCTTCAAGCCAGTGCTCAACCAAGCCGAGAAGTTCATAGTAACCTATCGTCGACTGGTAGCAGAGGTATTGGACCGAGTCTGGTACAGTGAAAGCTGCAGACTATAAAGCAAGGTCTTATATGGTGGAGACGCCCAAAGGGTCGTTCAGGAGAAATCGCAGACATATTCAACATACGGGGTATGACAAACCTAATGCGCCAACTGCAATGATGCCCGAGTCGCTCTATGTCAACTGGGACGAAAGGCAGAAACCCACACAGCCACTAGTGCCTGTGTATTCGCCAACTCGGGAGTCTCCTGTGCTGCAACCGAGTTCGCCGAAGAGGAGTCTTGTTGCTAAGGATGCGTTGCCGCTACTTAGACCAACTGACAATGCAGATCCATCTACAGGAG